CCCCCACTTTCTCCTCCTCCTCCCCTCCCACCATCCTTCTGCCCTCCTCCTCTGGGCCCACAGAGGAAACTCAGCTCCAAGCACTTTTTGGCCTACCAGTCTGTGGGATGCCGTAAACAGCTTATTACAGTGATTAACACTGCAATTAGAGCTGGAGAAACAGGGGCATGGACTGGCTGCTGGGTCATGTCCCACCCCCACCCCACAGAGTGCTCTCCCCTTCCCCTCCAATCCACTCTGGGCTTAGTAATCCAACCAGGGCCCTCACCTAGGAGCTGCCCAGAATTGGCCCATTTCGTTCATAGGGTGTCCGTCCCAATAGGGCTTTTGCAGGAAGAGAGAGTAAACATGGTGTATGGAGGCTGAATTTTAGGAGGGCTAAGACCCTCTCAGGGACAGGATTATGACAGTCCTTCTCATCTACTTCCCTAAGAGTTGTCTCCTCCACCCAGAGGAACGGGCCTTTACTTCTCCAAGTTCAATGTGTCAGGGCAGCTATTGGCCCACCAGAGAGGCTGGAAACAGGTGGAATATCATTTTTAATGAACTCAGCATCCAGGAAGGACCCCCAGGGATCTTCCGAGCCTGGTCCTTCCCTCCTGAGCTCTAGCCTGACATCACTCAAGATGCCTGCCTTCACTATTCTCATAGGCTTTGTTCCTTTCCATCCCAAGGGGTTGGGGGAGGCACTGCAGGAGGGGTCCTGGGGGAGTACTTCATCTGCTTCTGGTCCAGGAGGTCTCAGCTCAGGGTTTGAAGTCCTTCCACAGGCTGTGGCCATCTGTGCCTGTCACACAGCTCAGGAAACAGAGGCTGGCCGTTTTTGAAGGCACCCAGAGTTGGTGGATCAGCAAGTGTAGCAATACAAAGATGGTCAGTCAGCCAATGCTATGGGTGAGGATAGAGCCCAGGCTGAATGGAGAGCATGGCAAGTTAGATTGCCAGCATCCACTTCCATTTACTAAGCAGGTTTATCGAGTGTGGCATACCTTGTTAAGCATTATACTGAGCCATCCCACTTAATCTCCCCCACCTCCAGCTCTTTTGGTTGGTAGAATCATCCCTATGTTACAGGTGAGCAGACCTAAGTTCAGAAAGGTTAAGAGACTTGGCCAGGACCACATAGCCAGTAAAATCATGAAGGCTGGATCCAAAAGACTGCAGAGTGCACATTCCCGACCACAACATTAAGCTTTTCTTAGGGCCTTCCCTCCCCTCAGACCTCTCTAGGAAGAAGCCTGCTTCAGGGCTGATCATGTGGGACAGGTGGGTGCAGCTGTGGTGACTCCAGCTTTCTGACTCTGACAGACAGAAAGTCCATCCAGAGGACTCAGTCTCTGTGCAGACCTGGGTTCAAATCCCAGCTCTGTCTTGGATTTTCCATGTATTCTCCACAGACTCTTTAGCCTCAACTTTCATTCTCTCCCTTGTGTTTTTGGGTTTTTTCAAGACAGGTTTTCTTTTTATAGCCCTGGCTGTCCTGGCACTCTGTAGACCATGCTGGCCTCAAACTCAGAGATCTGACAGACTCTGCTGGCATTAAAGGCCTGTACCACCACACTGTCCTGCTCATTGTTTTCCTCTCCACCCCCTTTTTGTTTGTTTGATCATTTGAGGCAGGTTCTCATTATGTAGCCCAGGATAGCTTTGAATGCATCATGTAGCTGGCCTTGAAATCACTATTTAGTCTAGGCTGACCCTAAATTTCCAAATCTCCTGTTGCAACCTCCAGATCTCTAGGATTACAGACCTGAATCACCATATCCAGCCTTTTTTCTTCCTTCCCCTCCTCCTTTTCTTTTTTGGTGCTAGATATTGAATCCAAACCTTCATGTATGCTAAGCGTAAACTCTACTACTGCCAGAACCTCAGTTTTCCCATCTGAAAAATGGGCACTATCCCACTCACCTGCCACACTGTTGCTCACCAAGTAGTTAACAAATGCCACCTGTTATGTAATACTAAGACGTGGAAACCAGTGACCTTCAGGCACACTGGGGTTCCCTAGTCTGCCCCTTCTTTCCCTGAAGATTGTCCAGAGACAATGCGTGTAGTCAAGCAGCACCTGGAGGCTCTGCAGTCCCACCTTGGCATGAGGCCAGGTCCCTCCGCTAAGCTCTTGTCCCCATGGGGCTCCTCCTCCTCAGGGTGGGTAAAGGGCAAGTTGACCCCTGGCCTAGAGGTGGGCCTGGAGGTGAGGAGAGGAGGAAGGGGAGGTCAGGGGTGGGGCTGACCCCACGGGAGGTCACCTGGGCAGTTAATCCAGCCTGACAGAGCTGGGATGAGTTGGGAGGAATTAGGCCCTTACGACATCCTTTTATCCGTCACCGCCTGCCTGCCCGCCCAGCCTCCCTCCTTCCTTCCTCTCTCTGCCCTTTTCTCCTCTCTCCCTCCCTTTGCTGGCAGCCCAGCCCTAATAAAATGCAGTGTCTCCAGCGAGTCTGCCCGGCTGCCGCCTCGCAGCTCCTGCCTGCACGCAGCCCTCAAACCAAAAGCTCAGTGCAGCCCCGCCTGGCAGCTGCCAGCTTAACCCTTGCCGGTCCAAGCCAGTCATATGGGCGTGGCCTCCCAGGCTGGCTTGCAGGATGGGTGAGGCCTACTCGGAGAGGTACAGGCCAGGGTAGGGGCTGAGGTCCTGTCCTGAGGACAGGGCATCCAGGTAGCATGTGCTAAGGGCCTTCTCATCTTCACTGTGTCCTGGCCACATAGCAGCCCCCAGAGACTCCATCCATACGACACTGGCTGGTGGTCCAAGGCTGAGCTGGATCATAGTGGCAGCTGGGTGGTGTCCTGACTTTCTAAACAAGAATGCAACTGTGTGTGTGTGTGTGTGTGTGTGTGGTGTGTGTTGATAGGTGAACCTGAGTATATTCTGCACTTGTGTGTTGGGGGGCCTAGTTCTCTTTGGTTTGTTGTTATATTAGTGTGAAGTTCACCTGTCTCTGGTGTGTGTGTGTGTGTGTGTGTGTGTGTGTGTAAGGGGTGCTATTTTCCTCAAAGGGTGATGATTTTCTTCAAGTGGGACTTCATGTATGTGTGACAAGTGATATCACCATGTGTCTGTCAGCTGGAAAGCTGCATAGTGTTGTTGTGCATCCATGCCATCTCCTGGCACACACACACACACACACACACACACACACACACACACATACACACACACACACACATTTACCCTCCCTTCAGAAGCCTTGGAGTTGGGATCTGGAAGAAGGGGTCAGCATTTCCAGCATAGGCAGTCAGTGACAGCATCTTGAATATTCTGAGCCAGGGCCACACCCTTCCCAAGAAGGCAAACACAGGCCCCCTCCCCCCATCTCATTGCTTCCCAAGCCCAGTCTGAGGTCCCACCAGCTACAGAAACAGTTCCTCCTGTTGGCTGGTCCCATGCTCACCCAAGCTAAAAGGGATAGATAGGAGGGTGAGGGGCTGGGAGTGCCTGGGCGTGGAGGCAGGGGTTTTACATGCATGTGCAAGCATGTCTATGTGTGAGCTCAAGATCAAAGAGCAGCCCCGAGCTGACCTGGCAACAGCGGTGGCAGTAGCGGTGGCAGAGGACAGCTGGCTGACAGAAAACGCCTAGCCACCTAGCCCTCCATTGGGAGCCTCCCACCCAGGCCTGCTCACAGTGTGGGCAGCCACAGGGTCAGGAGCACCTGCCCCCAGCTCAGCATCCCCTAGAAGAAGAGGTCCCTCCCCACTTAACACCCACCCCCAACTCCAGACCTTTCCTTGGGAGCTGCCTGCCATGAGTCTCCAGTTCAAAGAGCACTGTGGTTATTTTCTTCTTCATTTTTTTTATTAACGTTATATATAAAGACTGGTCCAGTAAGAAAGCAGAAATGAGAAGGCTGGGGAGGGGTGGGAGCTGGCTTCATTCCTGTCCCCTTGGGGTGGGACTGGGAGACCCACCACATCTCTCCTTACTCCTGCACCTCCCACAAAACCCAAATCCAGCAGGAGCCCACATTCCCTCTTTCGGCTAGCAATACACAGGGAGATTGGTCCAGGAGGAACAGGGTCACATAAATAGGAAACCACAAGGGAGGAGGCTGCTTCTCTTGGTTACTCTTTAAAAAAAAAAAAAAAAAAACCTTTAATATATATATATATATATATATATATATATATATATATATAACTAAGTCTTTTACCTCTCCTTTTCTTCGATGTCTTACCACATCAGGGGCAGAGGAAAGTTAGCTTTGGGGGGACGCCTGGGCCAGGGAGAGGCAGTGGTACCAGCCCTCTAAGCAGCCAGCCTCACCCCTAAGGCACTAAGTCCTAGGCCTCCTCTTGTCTCCTAGCTCCTCACTTGCATCCTGTAGCTGAGTAAAAGCAATCTGTTTCCACAGCTGCCGAGAAGGGGGTGTTTGGGGATTTGTCTTGCCTGGTATATCTCTGCAGGGAGTTGGGGTTTGACCCCCCCAGACTTCCAACTCACTGGGACAAAAGGAAGGGTGGAAGGGGACAGAGCAGAGCTGCCCCCCCCCCCCCCGAGATGAGTGGGATTTGGTCCTAACTGTTAACAATGCCCTTTGTTGTCCTATGTTTCAACAGCTTTTAAAACCAGAGTTGTGCAAAGTCCTATACATGGAAGAAGATATTGGGTCCTTAGGAAAAACACGGGTGGACCTTCTCCCCAGGGAAGGAGCGGAGACTTGGCTCCTTTAATCCTTCCCTGGATATTAAAAGGCTCCCTCATTTGGGGGGAGTTTTCTTTGGTTTAACCCTCAAATCTTAAATGAGGGCTGGAGAACATCCAGTGCTAGGTCAGGCCCCCACCTTGAGGATCAGCTGTGATGTGATGTCCAATGTCTTTTTAAAAAGTGGCTCAAGAGTGGGTTGGTTGCCCCGCCCGGATGGCTTGGGTCTTGCGGTCAGTGCTGGAATCCATGGTGTCTGGTGCCCCTGCCCAGGCTGGACCTGCAAATACTCCGGCTCTCTGCATTTTGGAGGTCTCTACTGTGTTTGAAAGACTGGAAGGTGATGATCCATCTAGAGGCAATCCAGGTTCCTGGAGCAGAGAGCATGTGCTGTCCCCACTGGAGTGAAATGCCTCAACATCTGGAGGGCACCCCAGTCTAAGCAGGGGGAAGGAGGTTGGTTTGGGAGAGCATCCTTGGTCCATGCATATCTCATCTGAAGGTTCTTGGGTCCCTGGAAGAAGGGACAAGGGAGGGGGGAGGGAGTCTTTCCCCTGTGCCCCTCGATGATTCCTGAGTGTCACTAGGATAGGGCATCTTCTGCCTGGTCCTGGGGGTCCTTCGTAGGGGGGGGCGCAGGCCAGGTGGGTGCTCAGTACACAGCCCCAGGGTTAGGCGGAGGCCCAGGGGAGGCATGGTGCAGGGTAGCCGGCTGAGGTGGCTGCTGCTGTAAGTGGGGTCCGCTGAGGTTCTGTGCGTGGTACCAGGAGTTGGTGGGGTCCTCCAGGTAGTTGGGGGAGGCACTGTACGGGAGAGGTGGGGGCAGCTGATTTCGGGTGGGGGCTGGAGTGGAATGGGAAGACGTGTCCCAGAGGGCTGGTGATGGTGGTGAGTTGCAGGCCATGGAGTCGCTGTTGTTGGGACTATGCTCCAGGGGCACCTCCCCATTCTTGTAGAGCTTTTTGAACTTGGAGCGGCGGTTCTGGAACCAGATTTTCACCTGGACAGAATAAGAAAAGAGCAGGTAGTTAGCTTCTCAGGGAGGCCAAAGGGAAACTCCACAGGGAACCCAGCCTGGGGAAGGCAAGAGCAGTACCCAGCCTCTTGGGGAAAGTAGGCAAAAACCCCAGGGCCTCCACTGCCAAGCCAGCATCTTTCTTTCCAACTGGAAAAGAACTGTGGTTGGGAACATTCTACTGGTCCAGTTTGCCACTTCCGAAGTACGACCTTAAGCAGGTTACTTAACCTCTCTGGCCTCACCTTGCTCTCATTGCAAAATGGGGACCATGACAACACTATCGCCTACCTCAAAGGGCCACTATAAAGCTCAAGAAAGTTAAGATATATAGAAAACTTAAACCGCCTGCTAGATAGCAAGCCCTCAATAAAAATGCACCCTAAGCGGGATCTGGGCAGTTTGTAATATTTTGCCCACATCAGAGGCCCTAAGCCGAGGCTCACAGACACACAGGGACAAACACACACCCACACAGGTATCTCCATACAGCAACATACCCACTCACAGCCTCATGAAGCCACCAGACAGTAAAGCTATAAATGCATGCAGATACACCCAGATAAGAACACCTCCATTCACACATAGGTGTGAAGGGTTCTTGGGCTCTTGCTGGGGGTTGAGGGTGACCCAGGAACTCAGGAGCAGGTGAACCACCTGGATTCCCAACTCCCTAAATTTTCCTTGGGGTATCTCCCCCTCCCCCTGCTTCTCTCCACCCCATGACTGGTACAAACAATGAATCAGCTCTTCACCAGGTGACCCAGATTCCCGATGGACCAGGCCCCATGCAGCCCAGCCACAACCAAGGCCAGCCTGTCAACACCTGTAGAGAGCCAGGCACCCAGCATTCCTCCCCAGAGCAATGAAACTTCTTGGTGTTTAGGGACAGGTAAAGGGGTAGGGGTGGACCCCACTTTCCGACTCCTTGTCTTTTAGTAGAGAACCTCTCTGCCTGACTTTTGGGTGCGAAGCAAGACCATGTTTTTACCCAAACAAACATTTTTATGTACATGCTAACTGGTGCTCCATCATAGACACTTGCCTTCTGTTTGCAAAATGACCCATAAAGGACTTTCCTTCCACCTTACATGAGTATCCCCTGGCATATCGCCTGAACTCCCTACATGCACATACATAGTCTGGGAGAGAGGCAACATGGACTCCTATATTCTGTAGCATTGGTGAGGGTCTTGGTAGCTGGGTGTTTTGGGGTGCAGGGGAGGGCATCTCTCTGTGACAGACATACACAGTTGCATAAAAAGATGCACACTGCCCCCTTCTACATTCGCTACTGTAAAGCTTTCTACGGAGGCTGAAACTTAAGAGTCACTCAACCCATAGGCAAGAGTTCCAGCAATCGGCGGCGGCTGAGGAGCAGGGGTTGGAGTGTGCTTAAATGTCCAGCCAGGCTCACAGGTACCTAGGGAATGCCCGGTCCCTCGTGCTCCCATCTGCCCGCGGTGACTCTGGAGCATTCAGTACTAACCTGTGTTTGTGTGAGGCCCAGCTGTGCAGCTAGCTCGGCGCGCTCCGGCAAGGCCAGATACTGGGCTTTCTGGAAACGGCGCTGCAGGGCAGCCAGCTGATAGCTGGAGTAGATGGTGCGCGGCTTTCGGACCTTCTTGGGTTTGCCGTTCACCATGCGTACCTCGGCTTCCGGCTCCTCTTTCACCGACACTGTAAGAGGGAATGCACCAGCTTAGCTTCGGCCTGCGATCCTCTCTCCCCGCGCTCTCCAAGATCCCCTCACTATCGAACGCCGCACCCTTCGGCCCACTGATCTCTCCGGGACTTCTTTGGAGGAGCGTTGTGCCGCCCGCGCCCAGGGAGGGAACCGCGGCGACCGAGCCGGACCGGCGGCCGCCCACGACGCGGCGCTCCCAGCTCCGCACCCCGGCCCTGGAGCGCCGTCCCCGGCGCCAGCAACCGCCTAGGCGAGGACCGCGCGGCTTCGCTCACAACGCCTTCCCGGCTCAGCCTCTCGCCTGCGGACTGTCCTCTAGTGACCCACCGAACCCGCGGCGGCGTCTCCCACTCCGTCTAGTCCTCCCATCTCCTTTTAATAAGCTTCCTAGTTCAGATAATGTGTTTCAGAAGAATTGCAAGGATAGTACAGGCATTCTGTCTCTCTTTTTCCTTTCCCTCTGTTTTCTTTTTCTTCCTCCCTCCCCCTCCTTTCTTCCTTTCTCTTGTTTTTCTCTTTCTTCCTTTCCTCTGTTGCTTTCTTCCGTGTTTTTCCTTACTGTCCTCCCCACATTTCTTTCTCGTATCCCCACCTCTGGCTTTCTACATCTCTACTTCTCGGTCTCTCCTTCCTTCATTTCTGTGACTTCTTTGGGTCTTTCTCCACGTGCCCTTCGCTACTTCAGGTCTCCCCCAGATGGCTTCCAGAGAAAGGGCCCCGGAGCCTCCAGTCCTCAGGCCCTCAAGCCATCGCGAGCTGACCCACAGGATCGCAGCACTGAAGGTTCCCCCTGATCACCCAGAACGCGCTCCCTGTGGCCCCGACTGCCCCGGTGTCTCCAGGAGACCGCGGCACACAGAGTCGTCCATCCTCTCTGGAGGTCATCTAACCCCATCTCCTTCAACTCTTCTATGTCTTACTCTAGAGATTTCCCTAGATTTCAGCTCCCATTCCTAGACTTCCTGTCGCTGGGGGACCTTCCAGTGCCTCGCACCCTCCCCATAACCGCGGCGTCCTCACCTGGGTCCTGGGCAGGCAGCGGTTGCTCCCGGTATGCTCCATACTGCCTGTAGGAGCCCCCGTACGTATATTCCGACTTGGGCGAGTAAGCGCCAGTGCCAGCGAGCCCATTGAGATTGAACTGGTGGTGGTAGGTGTAGGGGTTCACCGTCTGGCCGTAGGGCTGGCCCGAGTAGTAGTCATGCTGGGGAGCGCTGTAATAGCCCAGATCAGTGACCGAAGACTCGGGCAGGGTGGGTGAGTCCTTGGAGCCTGCATGGCAGCTAAGCGAGCTGGAGATGTCGGTGAGGATGCTGCTGAGCTTGCGATCGAAGGAGCCGCTCATACTGGCGGGCGCCGCAGCTCCCCAGGCCTCCTCCGAGGAGCGCCGAAGAGGGCGGACAGGAGCGCCGGGTAGGCGGAGGAGCCCAGGTGGGATGTGTGTCCAGAGGGCGAGGACAGGGTCTGGTGGCGTCTGGGGGAGGGGTGGCCGAGGGGCGCTTAGACCATCGCTGGTCGTCGGTCAGTCGCTGCGTGCCTCTCTCCGCGTCCCAAGCCACAGTCAAATGCTGCCAGCTCCGCCCGGCCAGCCGGTTATAGACTCAATGTTGGAGTCGCAGAGGGAGGCTCCTACACGCTGATTGGCTGCAAGTCTTGCCTTCGAGGCAAAACATGCTCGCGCTTTCTCACTGGCTCCCCCAACCCTCTTTGTTGTTACCCCAAATGCACACACACACACACACACACACACACACACACACACACACACACACACACACACACACCACCGCCACGTTCCTCCTATGCTCAAGTCCAGATAAATCCTCCAAAGCAGGGGATGTGTGGAGGGGGCGGCTGAGCGGAGACCCCAGCTTCGTGGGTAGGGGTGGGCTTAGGTGAGATGAGGAAGGAGGGGAATTTGTCCATTGGGTATTTGTGGAAGGAGGTGGTCCTTGGAGATGTACGTGTGTACTATGCAAATGACAGATAAAGTGGCAAAAACCCAGGGTCTGTGAAAAATATTTTGATCGTTTTTCAAATCCGGAAAAAAAATTGAAAAAGAGCTTCTATGTTGAAAAACAAAGTTTGAGTATAGCAATATATTGCCTTTATGACGCTGCAGTCATGAAATGTAATTTTTTTTAAATCATGAAGGAAGAGTCTCGACAGGCAAAAGCATTCTGGGCCTGCAAAAGTCCTAAGTTGAACTGAGAGCACCCTACTGGAACAAGGCTGCATGGATTTAGGGGCTGCTCTAGAGAGTGGAGGTACCCCAAACTGTGTGTGTGCGCGCAGTTTCAGAGATGGACCAGGTTGAACTGAAAGAGTAATGAGGCTTAATGAGGCTGTAGTCCCCATGAGGCTGGCTTTCTGTGGACGTAAGTCGGTCTTGGGGGCAGGTTCCGAACAATATGGGACAGCACTTGGGAGGTCACACTTCATTGGGGGTCAGGGATAGACGAGTTTACATGTTCCACGGAATCCAAAAGGTTTGCTGTGCGTGCAAGAGTGCCTGCGAGAGAGTGTGTGGTGTGTGAGCGTGTCCGTGTGTGAAGTAGTGGGCGTGCAAGATTGTGAACTACCACTGTCAGCTGTGCAATCACGAATGTGCATAGATCTCTTGGACCCATCCATCTTCAATAGTAAAGAGCATGGCACGCCACTCAGCTCCTTCCCTCCATGAAGACCCTCATCAAGAGGCTTCTCACGCTGGAGCAATCTCCAACCCCCTTTCTCCCAGTCCTCTGGCTGTCAAAGCCCTTTCCCAGGTAATAGTTGCTGATTAGGGTGCCCCCCCATTTCTCTATTGCATCCCCACTTCTGCTCCCCAACCTATCCCAGGGAGAAAGAGAGCTTCTCCCAATTTCAATTCCTCCCCCCCCCCCCCGCCCCGCCTTCCTTACTCTTCTGGCACTTTGTTTCTCCTTGCCTTGCTAGCCAGGACGCACCACGTCGAGGACACGCAGTGCCAGCGCGCCACCTCGTGGTTGCTCCTGGGTTTTGCAGTCTGTCTTAAGGCCGCAGTGGAACCAGCCCCTGAGAGAAGAGGGGTCTCGTTCTATGTAGAGTGTGTAGGAGGGCTCAGTGGGTCTCTCCAGTGCCAGACCCTGACACAGGATCCCAGCCTGGAAAAACATGGGCTTGGAGGGGGCAGAGGACCTAGGTCGGGGCGCAGGGACAGGAGTAGTTGACCGCCTGGCCTGGGCCGCCCTGGGAGGCCGCCGCGTGGGAAAGGTGGGGGCGGGGGCGGGGGCGGGCGAGGGGAGCGCTATCTGTCTGTCTATCTGAGCGTCCCCCCAGCTCCTATCGCCCGCCGCTGCGAGCTCGTGGCGGGGCGAGTTGCCACCCGCTCTGGCTGCCCTCTGTTCTTCTGCCAAGAGGGCGCCCAAGGAGCCCGGGGCGTTGGGGGCAGGAAGGGCACTGGGCTGACGGCTCCCCTCCCAGGATGCGAGCGAGGGCGGCGGGCAAGGCCCGCTTTGGAGCCCCCAGCTGCCCACAGGGAAGGGACAGCTTTGGGCGAACCCTGCCTCGTGGGTTCGCTCATTCATTTGGGGTGAGAGGTGATTCAAAGATGCCCCAATCTCTCCTCACCCCACCTAGGCCTGGCACAAGAGCCTTGGGGTTATAGTGAGTTGTTTTAGGGTAATTTCTAAGGTCTGTTGTACTCTAGAAATGGACACGGAAATCACAACATCAGCAGCGTCAAGAGGCATTTAAGGCCGGGCGTGGTGGCACACGCCTTTAATACTAGCAGAGGCAGATGGATCTTTGTGAGTTCGAGGCCAGCCTAGTGTACACAGTGTGTTCCATGACAGCCAGGGTTATGTAGAGAGATCCTGTCCCGGGAGGAGGAAAAGGAAGATGAGGAGGAAGCAGCAGCATTTGTTTGTTTGGCTCTTCGAGACAGGGTTTCTCTGTGTAACAGCTCTGGCTATTCTGGAACTCGTTCTGTAGAGCAGGCTGGCCTCAAATTCACAGAAATCCTCCTGTCTTTGCCTCCAGAGTGCACCACCTTGCCCGGTCAGCACCATTATTTTAAATATGTTTTTTATAATTTATTTTTAATTTTATGTGAATTAGTTTTTTGCCTGCATTTATGTCTGAGTGAGGGTGTGTAAGTGTTTGATCTTCTGGAACTGGAGTTATAGACAGTTGTGAGCTGTCATGTGAGTGCTGGGAATTGAACCCAGGTCCTCTGGAATGAGCAGCCAGTGCTCTTAGCCACTGAACCATCTCTCCAGCCCCGGGAGTAATATAATGCAAATACTTATTTGACGGTGTGTGGTTAGCACCTTGTTGTCTGTTGCACAGTATGCTGGGGTCTGCCTACCCCATTCACCATCATCCTTCAGATACCTAAGATAGTCTTTGGGAAATGTTTGTTGAGTGGCCAAATAAGAGGAGCTGAGTCCCCTGTGTACTGTTTTGTTAGAGGCCAGTGCTAAGCTTGAGGTTTGCTTGATGGAACGCTGAAGCAGGCACAGGACTTATTCTCGAAGGAAATGAGTCCTAAGTTGTCCCTGAGGGGTCCCTCAGGACAGCAGGAAAGGAGCTACCAACAGCTGAGTGATAACTGGGTGGAGAGGTAACCAGAGGATGCAGTAGGACTGGTCTCACCCATTGGACCTCATCTGGTCCAGCAAGATGAGCAAGTGTCAGCTAGCCACAGTCCTGCTTCTGAAGGAGGGGGTGAAGCAAGGCAGCTGGTGACAGGTGACAGACCTCTGGGAGGCTGGCAGGAGTGAGGAGGGGCATTGTTTGGTGTCAAGATCGATTACACACACTGTCTCTGGCGTGGAGAAGAGGTGCCTGCTGATGGCGCTGTTTCCTGGAGACCAGGTATCAGGCCCATTGGGTAGAACCCACACTTCACAGAAAGTCAGGTAGAGGGGTGTGTAGGCAGGCTGGCTTTCTTCCTTGCCTGGGGCCCTGGCGCCATCTAGTGGTCATAGTAAAAATGGTCTTGTCTTGCATTACTCTGTTTTCCAGTGTGTAGAAGGAAATAGTGGGACCAGCTGAAAAAGGCTGCGTAAATGCTCGTGAAGCAGCCTAGAGCATAGTATAGGGTATCAGTGGTGGGGAGGCCCTAAGAGGGGCGCAGGAGCGAAGCCAGGGACTCATAACTCAGTCCTGGAAGTGGATAAAGACCATGTACTTAATTCATAGGCTGCAGGGAACCATTAAGTTTTAGCCAGGACCAGGCATGGTGGTGCACACCTTTAGTCTCAGCACTTAGGGAGGCAGAAGCAGGCCTGGTCTACATAGAGTTCCAGGATAACCAATTGTCTCAGAAAACAAACAACAAGTTTTAACCAGGAGTGGGACAGGATGGGAGTTTCATTCTAGAAGCATCTGGGCTGTTCTGTGAACAGTTATCAAGACTAAAGGCTAGAGGCCACTGTACTCATTCAAGCAAGAAGAAAGGCAGTGGGGTAGAAAGGATTATTTGCAGGACTGTCGGATGCAGGATCTTGGAGATGGACTGGGAGTGAGTGTCAGGGAGAGAGGAATGGAGAGGTAGCCCCCGATCTTCGGTTTGGACAGTTGAGTGGAAGGTGGAGGCATTCTATGAACAAGAGAACTCCAGGAAGAGGGCTGCATGGTGGGGGAAGAGGGTGTGGTTTGCTGGAAGGAAGCAGACATGCATCCTGATCCAAGAAATAGCATAAGTCAGAGTTGTGAGCTCAGCACTCAGACTGAGCACAGGCCAGAAGGCCACACACCCAGCACCCAGTGGTCTTGAGGACAAACACCATCTTGATCAATGTCAACAGAAATCACAAATCAGATTTTTATATTTTTAATATTTATTTCATTTTATGTATGTGAGCATCCTGCTTGAATGTGTACCTGTGCGCTATGTGTGTGCCTAGTACCCAAGGAGGTGGAAAGAGGTCATTGGATCCCCTGGGACTGCGGTTACAGATGGTTATGAGCCGCCATGTGGATGCTGGGAACTGAGCCTAGGTCCTCTGCAAAAGCAACAAGTGTTGTGTTCTTAGCCACTGAGCCATTATCCCAGCTGCTTTTTAACCTTTATGTAAGTGGAAGTGGACAGTATGTACGCTGTCATCTCTGTCTCCTCCTCCTCTCCCTCCTCTCCCTCCTCTCCCTCCTCTCCCTCCTCTCCCTCCTCTCCTTCCTCGTCTTCTCCCTCTTTTCGTCCTTTGCAGCACTGGGGATCGCGTCATGATGCTGAACACATGCTGTATCGCTGAGCTACTGGCTTTTCGAGCTCCTGTTTTGTTTGTTTTGTTTTTGTTGTTGTTGTTTTGTTTTTAACTCAACATTGTATTGTAAGATGTATGCATGTTGTAGGGTATATTGGCACATTCTGTGTGAGCTTCCTGTCACGGACTACATCACCGTGCATTTATCTGCTCTACAGCTGACAGGTCTTTGGGTAGCTTCCAGTCTGGGGTGATCCTAAGTATCGCTGAGAGGACTGTTCTTGCACCTGTCTTTTGGTACACGTGTTTTGTGCCTGAGGGTGGAATTGAGGGCCATGTGGCATGCGTGTGGGTGACTTTAGAAGATGCTACCAAGCAGTTCTCTGGTGGAGTCTGAGCATCAACTGAGACACCCCAGAAAGTCTGTCCAGCAGTGGTTGGTTGGCAACAGGCCACATGGTTCTGAAAAATTGGTCAGCAGCCAGGCGTGGGAACACACACTTTTAGTTCCAGCACT